GTAGCATATATATAAATATATATATATATATATACACGTATAAACATATTGATGCGTGCCACCAAGGTGTGTGATTTGAAGTCGCAAAAGCAAGCCATTCTGCTCGAACGCTTCACACTTTGACAGAGCCGCCCATCTAGAAAGAAGCAATTTTCAGGGTTTATTGCCAAACGCCCGCGCTTCTGGTTGCGGCGCTGGTCATAGTTCCTCATGTCGGGGCTATGGACGCGGAGTCGCTCTATGCATCGTTTCTGGCGGAAGTGGGCCAGGCAGGCTGAAAAAAAGGGGGGTAGCCAGCTTTGCCAGATGGTTGTTTGTTTTGGGCATCTTGCTGCAAGGCAAACGACTCCAAGTGTGGCAGCTCGAGCTTCAGCCGCATTCCGAGATGCGTCGCCTGACAGTTCCAGATATGCCTACTTGCAGATCAGGCCTGTGCGCGTGTGAAAGAGCGCAAGGACGCAAGCGTCCAAAACCCGCGCAAGTGTGCTAGAGCCCTCAGGCGCACAAGAGCACAATCTCGCCAGCGCAAGTCCCTCGCAAGCACGCGCACGCGCTCGCGAACGCTCACGCACACACACACACACCCACACACACACACACACACACGCACACGCACACGCACACGCACACGGGCACGCACACGCAAACGCACACGCACACGCACACGCACACGCACACGCACACGCACACGCACAAACACGCACACGCACACGCTCACGCACGCGCACGCGCACACGCACGCACACGCGCAGGCGCATGCACACGCACACGCACACGCGCACGCGCACGCGCACGCGCACGCACACGCACACGCACACGCACACGCACACGCACACACGCACACGCACACGCACACGCACACGCACTCGCACTCGCACACGCACACGCACACGCACAAGCAGAAGCACTCGCACTCGCACACGCACACACACACACACAGACAGACACACAAGACACAGCGCGTAACACAAGCACACAAACACACACAGGCAGCAGACGCGCGCACACACACACACAGGCAGACATGCACGCAGGGGTGCACAGGCACACCTCAGGCCAAAGAGAGCACGGGTTCATCAGGAGTCAGAGAGGCCAGCTTCGTGAGGATTGTATATTGCTGTAGCGAATTGAAACAGCTTGGGCAGACTAGAGTGTTGCCATGCGCTTGGCTCATTCCCTGCGAGGCCAACGGCGGCTGATACTTTGCGGAAGGCCCCAGAATATTCTGCGATGTCCGAGCGAATCAGGCCTTTGCGAGGTAGAGACATGATGCGGCGAGGTTACTAAACACCTTTCTCAAGCGCCCAATGGCGACATGCAACCTTGTTGTGCCGCAAGAGCTTCACGCATAGGCAGCCTTTCACGGACAGCTCTCGCAAGTGCGACAATTGCTCCAAGGCTCGACGTCCCAGTTTTCGAAAAGCAAGTGATGCCATTGGCAGGCCTGGACTGCGTGGAGCGGCTGCTTCTCATCGATGCAGCAGAGGCAGATGGCCTCACGGCGCTTCACCTGGCAGCCATCGCAGGCTGTCATCAATTCTCACCGATTCTCATCGATTTCACATCGATTCTCATCCATTCTCATCGATCTTATCGATTCGCATCGATTTCTCATCGATTCTCATCGATCTTATCGATTCGCATCGATTTCTCATCGATTATCATCGATCTTATCGATTCGCATCGATCTCATCGATTCTCATCGATCTTATCATTTCGCATCGAATTTCTTATCGATTTCTCATCGATTCTCATCAGTTTTCATCAGACTGCCGCCAACCCCAGATGGTTGAAGTGGAGAAGGATGCTATGTCAACACCGGACCCGGCAGCCCAGATGTTGATGAGGATGATGATGGCTGCATGGACAAAATTGTCGTTCATGGAGGATCCTGCGTTGGCAAAATTGTAAGCAGGACCCGGTGCAGATGATGGAATGATGATGGAATGATGATGATGATGATGATGATGATGATGATGATGATGATGATGATGATGATGATGATGATGATGATGACGATGATGATGATGCAGGGTAGTGATGCTGATGATGAGGATGATGATCCCCAACATCAGTGATGATGATGAGCCACGATGATAATCATCATGATGCATCCCCAGCATCACCAGCAGTCATGATGATAATCATGCCTACACATCTTTGATGTTGATGATGATGATGACAACCATGTCTTTTTGTGTCTACGTTTCAAGTGTGCCGTTAGACCCGACTTGAGATGCAAAGGATGCGTAGTCATGGTTCTGATGGTGATGATAATGATGATGATGATGCTGAGCTGTGAGATCTAAAATCTTTGCAGCATCACCAACACGTGTATCAAAAAGATAAGGACAATGAGACAAGCTACTGGCAGGATCAACCTAGTTTGATGATCACCGTCATGATGATCATGAGGATGATGCTGATGATGCTGATGATGCTGATGATGAATCTTTGGTTATGCTCATGTGCCAGCCACCCTCCCGTGCACCTCCCCTCGTTGCCGAGGGGTCGGCGGATCAGCAGTTGTCATCGTTTCTTATTGATTCTCATCAGTTCTCATCGATTTCTGATCAATTCTCATCAATTCTCATGCATCGATTCTCATCATTTCTCATCAGTTTTCATCGATTCTCATCGATTTTCGTCGTTTCTCATCAATTCTCATCAAGTCTCATCGATTTTGATCCATTTTCATCAATTCTCATCGACTCTTATCAGTTGTTATCGATTCTCATTGATTCGCATCGATTTTTTGTTGCTTCTCATCAATTCTCGTCATGTCTCATTGATTCTCATCAATTCACGGATTCTCATCAAGTCTCATCCACACTCATTGATCTCTCATCAATTTTTATCGATTTCTCATCGATTCTCATCAATTCTTACTAATTCTCATCCTGTCTCATCTCTTGGCAATTCCGTTCAATTCGCATCATTTCTCATGAAGTCTCATCAAGTCTCATCTATGTTGATCTCATTGATTGTCACCCATTCTCATCGATTCTGCAGCATCGATTCTCATCATTTCTCATTCATTTTCATTGGTTCTGATCAATGATCATCAAGTCTCATCGATTTTCATCTCATCGATTTGCATGCACTGTCATCAAATCGTGCATCGATTCTCATCGATTTCTTTTCGATTCTCATCGATTTCTCATCGGTTCTCATCAATTCTCATCGACTCTCATTGATCTCTCATCGAATTTCATCGATTTCTCATCGGTTATCACCAATTCTCATCCTTGATCATTTCTTAGCAACCAGTTTGTTCTCATCAGGTCTCATTAATTCTCATCAGGTCTCATCGATGTTTATCAATCCTCATCAATTCTCATGCATCGATTCTCATCATTTCTCATCGGTTTTCTTCGATTCTCATTGATTTTTTGTCGTTTCTCATCAATTCTCATCAAGTCTCATCGATTTCATCTCATAGCTTTTCATCCATTATCATCAGTTATCATGCATAGATGTTCATCATTAGTCATTGTTTCTCATTGATTATCATCAGTTCTCATCGATTCTCATCCATAGTCACCGACTCTCATCGATTTTCATCGTTTCTCATCAAGTCTTGTCACGTCTATCCCATCGCTTTTCATCCATTATTGCCATGCATAGATTCTCATCGATTCTCATCGATTCTCATCAATTCTCATCAGTTATCATCGATTCTCATCAATTGTCATCAGTTGTCATCGTTTCTCATCGACTCTTATCAATTCTCATCGATTCCTCATCATGTTTCATCAATTCTCAGCAAGTCTCATCGATTTGCGTCCGTTGTTATGTGTTCTCATTGTTTCTTTTCAGTTGCCATCGATTCTCATCGGTTCTCATCGCGTTTGAGCCGTTGTGATCCTTCCCTTGCCACGTGTGTGCTGTGCTTCAAGGGTATTCTTGCCTCAAAGCGCGCGCAGGTCATGAGGCAGTGTGCCGAGCGCTGCTTGACGGCCGTGCCGATGTGGACGCACACAGCAAAACACGCGACACAGCTCTGATGTGGGCAGCGCACCAAGGCGAGCTGGGTCTGGAGATCAATCAAACAAGTGCTATGCCTGTCGTCAATTCTAGATGCCACTTCTGGTGCTTTGCGCAACAATTGTTTTGTACTCAACAGGACGCTTGCTCCACATTGTCTTGTTTAACGGATGTGGCACTAAGTTCAGTTTCCCTCTTTGCCCGTACTGCAATTTGGAGAGCCGGAGAACTCTGTGCCAAAAACGCTTTGTCGAGCGGCCACGTTCATGGCATGACAAATCCCACGTAAGCAGACTTGACCATGGCGAGCATGAGCTCAAATACGGCGTTCAATTCAAAGATGCCTTCCCGCACTTGTTTGACACGTAAGGCCGCTTCTTTTGTTGGCTGTGTGTTACTTTTGACATACAATCCAACAGCATTCTTTGGCATGAATATTTGTCGACTCCCCCGATTCTCTTGTGCCGCAAAAGCCAAGTGCCTCTCGGTGCCTTTCCTTAGATTTGGATTTTCGCATTTGCGTGCTCTCCCCACCCTGCAGAACAGACAGAGCCCAACTTGTTTCAAGCAGCCTCCCTGTGACCTTGGTAAGATTGTGCTTCCCTTGAAGCACCAGCAATATGACCTCTATGGCAAACGCTAAGTTGCATATTCGGCTTCCCTATCAACGTTCTCATGTCAGTTCCTTGAGCGAAATGCCTCGGCCTGGACCTGCACCTCTCTGCTTTTTGCTGCGTGCTAAAGACAGAAGTTGTGTGTTCTTTCCTGACAGAGGTCGTGGCTCCTTGTGCCGGCTGCTGCTGAGCCACGGCGCAGACACCACGTTGAAAAACTGTTCTGGGCAGACGGCAGCATCGTGGCTGCACTTACAGAGTTGGCATTACATCCACACCCGTGCCTAAACCTGCCAGAAAAACCAAAGCGCACAAACGCACAAGCGCACAAACATGAAAATGCGCAAACGCACAAAGACGCAACCAAACACACACACACACACACAGACAGACACCCAG